CCCGTCCTCGCTGCGGCGGGAAAGAGAGAGAGAGAGGTGGGCCCCCGACCTTGCCCGCGGGCGCCGGGAAGCGCGAGAGCGACGCGCCAAAGGCGGGGCTCGAACCGCGGAGACGGCGCTTCTCTTCGCCGCGTTCACGACCGCGCACAGGCGCGCGCTCATACACACACACACACACACTAGCCAAAAAGGGATGCGGAGAGGAGGCGAAGGCGCGCGCCCGGACCGTTCCTTCACCAAGCGGACCGAAGTTGGTTAAGAAAAAGAGGGTACGTAGGAGGAGAGGGCCGGCTGGCTGGCTGCGTCGACCGGTGGCCCCCTTCCCGCCCGGCCCGGCCCGGCCCGGCCCGCAGCGTTCCTGTGGCCGTTGGGAACGGTAACGCGTTTCCAACGGCAAACAAGTGCGTAGGGGTGCGTGCGTGCGTGTGTGTCTGTCTAAAAATAAAACTCGATTTTAGAGTCTCGGGAGGGGAGAACTCTTACTAACTACAGATCATGGTTGCCGTTATCCTCCCGAGCCTTTTATTGTGTGCGGTGCGCTGCCCTGTGGGACTGTGAGCTGGGGGGGTGGGTTGGTTGGGAGGTGGTGTTTGAGGTGGGAATCGGATGATTTTATTTTTTTATTTTATTTTTATTTTGCTTGTCGCCCGAGGGACCTGGGGAGTGAAGGAGGGGCAGGAGGAGGAGGACGAGAGAGCGGAGAATTCGTGAGATCTGAGGTTTGGAAGAAAGGGGAGCTTTCTCGAAAGCGAAGTTTCAGGCGGTGGGAGACAGATAGGCAGGATGATGGGCTCCCGACCGAGCCGGTGAGGGTTGGCATCCGCTGGCGAATATCCAGCAGGAACGGGGTAAACATGACTGCATTTGCAGAAGCATCTAACGGCGCCTTGCCTTGCCTTGCCTTGCGAAAGGGAGCTGCTTCTCTCTCTCCGAGCAGGCATCTGTTTTCCTCTCTTGAGCTTTAAATGCAGTTTATGTCATGGCTGTGTTAACGGCGTCGAGCCTCCCCAACTCTGCCTCTTCAACGGACCTTCGTTGCCAAATGGATTTGCCTGTTTTCTGCTCTCACATTATTCTTGTTGCCTTTATAACTCTTTTGTCGTTTTTGTTAGGGTTTTCCTTGCTTGACCCTCTGTAATCCTCCCCCCGCCGGGCATTAGAAGATTGCCTGTCAGAAGCGCATAAATACATTTTTATTGACTTATTTTGGCTTGATGGCTTTCTCGCCAGATGACTTGCAAACAAAAATGTTGCTAAAATACACAAGATGTTTTTTTAAAAAAACAACAAAACTCGTAACAACAAAAAGAGTGCTAAGTAAAAAACAGTTTATAAATACTAAACTAAAATACTCAGCATCCTGTAATACAGTCCCTTCTTGATTTAGTTTGTTGAAAAGCTGCCTGAAAAAGGCTTTTAGCTGCAGGTCTTTACCTGCCCTGCTCCCAGAAGGATAGAGAAGGGATCAGCCTCTTGGCAGGGAGTTCCACCGCCTCAGAGCAACCATTGAAAAAGCCAGCCTCATATTCTTACTAAGCTGTGCCTGTGAGGGCACCAAGACTGAGAAAAGGCCCTTCTGTCCAAGATCTCAGAATCCAGAGTGGATCATATGGGGACATATGGTTCTTCAGATAGCCTGCCCTGAACCCAGACTATATAGGGCTTTGTTGGTCATAACTAGCAGTTTGAATTTGGCTGAGAAACACATGGCCAGCCCAGGACAGTTTGCTGCTTGAAGCAGAGCATCAGACACCCCCCTTCCTGCTGGAAAGTATGGATTACCAGAAGTTACACAGTTCCTACAACCAAGATGTTTTGGAACCCATAGGAGAAAAGCACTCCAGCATGTGTTCCAGTCCATGGCAAAAACAAAATAAATAAAAAACCCCGCTACACTGACAAATTAAATAGCTGAGAAATTAATAGGCAGCACATTTATGACAGTAAAAAAATCTATTGCCCGAGGTGGCAGCTCACTGCTTAATGATTTGGAGTTAACCACGGTCAGGTTACTGAGCAGGTCCATGTCTGCTTAGCCTGTATAAAGTTCCTAAACTGGGGTAACCAACCTAGCACCTTACACACGTTGAACTACTACTTCCATTGTTCCTGAACATTGGCCCGAATGGCTGGAAGTTCAAGTTCATCAGCATCTGGAAAGCCCCAAGTACCCTATGCATGTTGTAGACTGCATTGATCCCCACATTTCTATATTTCTTTCTCCTGTTGTAGAAAACTTGCCCAACACTGTGTTGTGAAGAAGTTGATTAACTATGTGGATTTTACACCAACTCATTCCCCCCCCCAAGGGTGGATTCTTTTCAAGTTATCTGTCTTGTGTCTGCAGTTGTGTCAATGTCCTGGCTTATTTCACATTACCAGTTAGTAAATATAGTATTCTTCTTGATGGCATAAATATGTTTCTGAGAGATGTGATAGATCTCAAATTTCTCAGCTTGAGACTGGTTTCATAATGCAGTGTTTCCACAAATTCTGAATACCCTGACATATCACTGCTTCTGCATTAAAATTTGATGCCAGGCCCTCTACCTGACACCCCACGAATAAGGCACCCCACAATCTATAAACTGAAACTTAATCCAGACAAGACAGAGGTGCTCCTGGTCAGTTGAAATGCAAATAGGAAACAGGGATGCAGCCTGTGCTGGCTGGAGTGACACTTCCCCTGAAAATCTCAGGTGTGCACCCTGGGGGTCCTCCTGGGTTCATCCCTTGAGTCTGGATGCCCAGGTTTTCAGCTGTCACCCAGAGTGCATTGGCAGTTAAAATTACTGTGCCAGTTGTGCCCATTCCTGGAGAGGTCTGATTTGGCCACAGTGACACATGCCTTTGCTTTTAAAGATATCTTTTAAAATACAGTATTTTACACCAGAAATAAAAACACTTTTTAAATGGCTGTTTGGTTAAGAAGGATCTGAAAAGTTTGATCCTGACTGTCAGGATCAAAAAGTTCAAGTCTCTTTTCCCTGTTCTCAGGCTTGCAACAATGTTTATATTTTGAACTTTCCTGCTGGTGACCAGTTTATAAGAAAGCCAAAAAGTCAGAGGTTTTCTTCTCTTGAGTTTTAAATACAATTGAAAACTTTGGTTTTTTGGAAAGTCACTATTACAGCTCCTAATGCCTGAATTCCTTCCAAATTAAAAAAAAAAACAAACAACTGAGACTAACCATACTTTTTTGGTCTGTTCAATATATTTGATCTGTTTTAAATGTGCAGGCAGAAAACACCACTGGTGTCTGTGTGGAGAGTCTAAAACAGTTTTGCTTTTAAAAATCCATAGCTTGAAAATAGTTTTGCCCAAATGTCCCCAGATTTGGCACTGATCTGAAGTCCAGTTTTAAAGTTCTAATTTTTTGTTTATGGTGTCCCCATTTTTAAAATTGCCTTATGGAATGCTGTTTGCTCTGCTGCAGAATATCTATTGTTGCACTCTCATGCAATGATCTAACACTGGAATAATCTAACACTGGAAAGTGCTTCTACCTAAGAACATATAAACCTGATGTGTTGTCAAAAAGAGACTAGTCCCACATTATCCTATATTTCATAAAATACGCTGTCATTGATGATGCAGTGCATATTTCTATGTACCCCATCTTGTCTAACATCAATTGGCATAAAAATGTGCTCATGAAATCTCACAGCTTTGTAAATCCTCTTAGATGCCACTCAGCTGAGCAGTACCAAAACCAGAACAAAAATTTGTTTTCATTCGTATATAACTTGCTTTTCAACCAAGATTTAATTGGTTGAAAATTAAATCTTATTTTTAATTGATTGTTTTTAATTAATTAATTAAAACTTAACTGGTGTTTTGAGAAGTGGATTGCAATTAAAATTCCAATACAAATGGTGTTCAATAAAATCATAGCTAGCTTGTTTCTATATAAGATTGATAACACTGGATTCCCTGGGTGTGCCAAGGCTCACAAATAAAAACACCCTCAAAGCATGAGTTACTGATACTTGTATTAGAAGACCAGAAAATAAATGATAGACATAAGCTAGCTTTTGATCCCATACGAATCTTCATCAGGCTTGGCCCCTTAGTGCTGTGTGTGGTGTTGAAAAAACATGCAAGTTCCCTAAGTCCATGGTCAGGTGTACAGGACAGGCTCATTTGTTAAAAAGAAGGGCTGTAAACTCAGGCCTGACATGTAGGTGTCAGATTTCACCTCTGGTAGTGTTGACTGGAATGTCTTTTCCAGCCCTGTCTTTTCCAGTCCTGTATGCTGCTAGTCATTCAGCATACCCCCCCCCCGCTCTATATCAAAATACAAGGCTCTGTTTTAGCCTGGTAAACACAAATCAAGTTGTTCCATTCACAGTGATCCTTTTATGAGACCCAAATACTGTTCTCTAGGTATCCTGCTGTTCTCACTAGAGCAGAAGTGGGAACTTAGTGGTCCTCTAACATTTTGGACCTCATACAGCTAGAGTGCAACTTCTGCCATTCCTCAGCATTAGCTATGCAGGCTGGGATTGAGAGACCTTGCAGGCCCATAGTATCAGGAAGTCTATAAGAAGTTTCAGATTTGTGGTCATCTTTGTCAATATTGATACAGTTCAGAGTTTTCCAAACTTCTTTTTACAGCTTTGAATCTCGGGAGGTCAGTTATCCCACCACAGGAAACATTCCCAAAGGAACATATGGGCTGAAGGAAAGACCTACAACCTGAACTGTGCTAGCCTTTCAACATGACCGCCATGCTCCCACAAGGAGCACTGCCTTGGGGAAGGGTGTGTCGTTTGTCCAGCCCAGTGGTGCAATGCCTGGCCTTGATAGTGGTGACATTTGGAGTGCTGGTTCCTCTGACTTGCCAGCAGCTCCTTCATTCCTATTTTTACATGCGATTCTGGTACCTGAACCCTATGAGTCAAGATTTCCTACAGCAGAACCAAGAGGATGGCCTGACTGCCCTCCATTACTTTGAGAGGCTGCAGGCCCCCAACAAGTCAGAGATGTTAGCTGGCCAGACCTCACCACCATGGCTACTGATCACCATCATCACCATACAGAGGCAACCAGAGTTCCACTATGTCCTTCAGGTGGCTGCCCACTTCCACCGCCTCCTTCAGGAATGTGGCTCTTCTTGTCAGCGCCACCAGATTGTCCTCTGCAATGTGGAAACGGATCCCAGCAGCCATCAGGATGCTCAACTGCTTGCTAAGTTCTTTGCTGTGGTGGACCGATCTGGCAGTAGCCATCAGAATTTGGACCACCTGTTGAACCGCTTTGAAAAGGAGAAGCGGGACTATGCCTATTGTCTTGAGAAGTCACTCCAGATTTACAAGCCAGAGTACGTGTTACTGGTGGAAGATGATGCTGTACCAGAAGAGGAGATCTTTCCGGTGCTACATCACTTGTTACAGAGGCGTTTCTCCAAGCCCCATCTCCAGAATGCCCTTTATGTGAAACTCTACCATCCTGAGAGACTCCAGCGTTATATTAACCCAGAGCCCATGAGGATCCTGGAGTGGCTTGGAGTAGGCATGTTGTGGGGGCCGCTTCTGGCCTTGGTATATGCATGGACAACCAATCGCTCCAGCCTCAGTTGGCCGATGGTGCTGTTTTTTGCCCTCTATAGCATGCTGCTGGTAGAACTGGTGGGACGCCATTACTTTTTGGAGCTTCGCCGCGTGGCCCCTCCACTCTATAACATTATGCCTGTGACAGAGTGCTGTACTCCTGCCATGCTGTTTTCTGCCCCTTCTGCTAACCGTGTCTTGGGTTACCTGAAAGGACAACAGTGTTACCGTGGCTTCGCCAAAGACACTGCCCTTTACTCTCTACTACGCCTGAAGGGAGAGCGGGCATTTGTGGTGGAACCCAACTTGGTCCGCCATGTGGGGATGTTTTCTAGTGTCAGGCTCAGTGAAAACCCAAAACTTCTTTGATACTTTTTGGCTCAGGAAGAACAGAAGCAGAATAACAGAGCAGTCCCAGTGCAGCGTCCGTACCACTTTTGACTGTAAACTGGTGGTTGCTGGTTCAAATGCTCTACACACAATTCTCAACACACACAAAACTGGGCTGTTCAGAAGTTTCCCATTGCCTTTTCACTGAAGTACTAGCTTATTGGAGGATAAGCTAGCAGGTTGGGGGAGTATACAGGGCTAGAGTGGGCTACTGGTGGCCCTCCAGTTCTTGTTGAACTGCAACTCCCACCAACAGCTATGAAAGCTGGAGCTGATGGGGCTGAAGTTCAGCAACCTCTAGGCAGCCACAAGAGGCCAACAGTGCCTGATCTAAGGGTACAGGTAGGCGGCAGAAAGACGTGAAGTCTGTTTTGCAGCATCAAACCGTGCATCCAAAAAAAGCTCCATCTTTTACAGATAATGAACAAGAATTCACAAAGTGCTTGGAAATTTGTTTATTTCAAAGATACGCAAGTGAAACCATTTTTTGGATCACTTTCCCTTTGCTGAGATGCACTTACTGTCATTTTTTACAAGTGAATTATTTAATAACTGCCTTAGTCTTTCTCAAAGACAGATAGTCCTTTTCAGGGGAAAGAGGGTTTGTTCCAATCCCAACATCTGTTGAGCATCTTGCATTGTATTGGTGTCTATTGTATGGCGTGGATTTGCTTGTGTGTAGTGTGTTTTTTTAAAAAAAAAAAAAACATGGTGCAGGCCTCTCCAGGGAATACATCAGTTTAGAGTGCAAGTGAGAGTGGCTGATTCAAGCTGCAAAATCCCCCAGTGTGTGGACCTCAGTACCACAGGAGGAATACACAGTTTGACCACAGTGAGAATTCAGTGTTCAGCTGGGCGGCCTTTCTAGACTTTCTGGTGCAGCCCTTCTCACCTCCCGAAAGCTAGCTCCAGAGTCTTCGGACAAAATGCTGGCTCTACGGCTTGGAAACGGGGTTGAGCACCGCCCCCTAGAGTCGAACACGACTGGACAAAAAATTGTCAAGGGGAACCTTTACCTTTACCTTTAAAGTTAATTTTGGAAGTGTAGTGGAGGTTGAGAGGTCTACCGTAAGATTCTGCTCAGTGGTTGTAAAAGATGAGAAGAGGTTGGCTCACTTCTGTGTGCTTGCTATACAGCTTTTCTAGTGATATTTTCTAGGGATTTTGAAGGTGTATTCTTCAAGTTGTCCTCCCTAGGTTATTTATTTGTTTGACTTGGTGTTAATCACTTCCTCTTCTTAGACGTTAACCATTAGCGATTAAAATACTGCTTAGGGCATGGATGAGAAACCTGTCATTATCCAGATGGCACTGGACTCCAGCTCCCATCATCTCTGACCACTAGCCATGTTGGTGAGGCTGACAAGCATTAGATCCAGCAACATCTAAACTGCCACAGGCTCCGCGGCCCTGGCTGAGGAGGTGAGTTTAAATAAGAAACTGCCCAAAAAGGCTTCTGTTTCATGTGTCTCTCATCCATTACTTCCACATCTTAGCAAGAAACAGAAGTGCCTTATCTAGAGAACATGCATTGCTTCTGAGAATCGTTTACAGGCTTCTTTTATGCTCCACTAATACATGTGAACAGCAGCTTCTCACCCTCAAGCCCCAGCTGCTCTATGCATTCTCTGCCTTCCCCTCTCTCTCTGTAAACCTGTGTTGTACACTGTATTTAATATCAGTATGGACTTGCAGGGAAAAAATCTACTGAAATAAAGGAGTTTGAAAATGGAATTACTGTATGATTTGACTAGACTCACTGGGCTTATTTGAACATTGCAACCCTGTGCAGAGGCTGCCTGAAAACTGCCTTCCCATCTCAAGTTTTTCCCTCCCCGCTCTTTTCCATAACCCTTGTACTGGGTGTCCAGTGTCAAGATTCTCTATGCATGTAGTTACAGGGGCTGAAGCATTCCGTGCTGTCAAGAATACTAAGAGAAGGAGCCAAGAAGTTCCTGCTTCAGGTCCTTGAGGGAACTGAAGCTTGTAAGAACCATATTATATATTTGGATCAAGGGAGTCAAAGTCAAAAATATTTAGAGGCCGTATTTAGGGACAGCTGGGTTGGCATGCCTTTTTATGGTACCAGAAAGCCAAAACCCACAGGTATTTCCAAAACAATTATATTAGAAACTCATTGTATATAATTTGAGAAAAAGTGAAAATGAGAGTGTACATAAAAATACCAAGATGGGTTTCACATATAGAAGTATTTGTACATCACAATCTTCTGAACTTTGAGAAAATCTTGACATATACAGATATATTAGATATAGACAGGAGACTAAAATAGAAAAAAGACCTTATAGACCAGGGATTAGACTCATCTTGGTGGCCCATAATGCAAACACAATCTAAGTATGAAAGGGATTTTAAAATATGATTTCTATGAAGAACAGACAACACTTGACCAAATAATTTTAATGTCAGATGATAAATTAATTAGGAAAATATATAAATTCCTCATAAATTGGAAAATGGCAGGTGAACAAGTCAAGGAAACAATGGTACAATTGGCAAAAAACTTTGGATATAATATTGATCTTGTAAAAAGGGCAAAAGCTGTGGACTAGAAAGTATAAAATGACAATGGCATCATCTTATAACGAGAATTTATACAAAATATTTTATAGATGGCATTTACCACCTGATAGATTAGCTAAAATGGTCTCTCGGTCAAGTAAATGCTGGAAATGTCATAAAAAACTGGAACTTACTATCACCTTTGGTGGATATGTGATAAAGGAAAAAAGCTTTGGATAAAAATACATATAGTTAAAATTAAAATAATCAAAAAACATGTAGATTTTAAGCCAGAACTTCTTCTATTAAGTATAATACCAGAAAGTGTTGATAAACAAAATGTATGTATATTTAATGTTGCATATTTTAACAGTCGCGAGGATTATATTTGCACAGTACTGGAAGAATGAAGAAACACCTCCATATGAAGAAATAATTAAAAGTATATTAGACTGCGCTGAAATGGACAGACTGACATTAAAAATCAAAGGGAAGGAAGATTCAGAATACTATCAAACTTGGAATCTGGCTAGAAGCATGTTGTATAGATTAAGTGCTTAATATGTACTGTAGTTGTATTAACAAATGACTATAAGTGGAAACCAGGGGACATGATGTTAAATAAGCACGGACAGTTTTTATAAATAATAAAAGAGAAGAAAAAAAAAGAAAATGTACATCATTATTTAAAAATGAGGCTTGACGAGCAGCTTACTAAAAGTTACTGTAATACTTTAGATCCTTTTTAGGAGAAATGCGAAGTGAAAAGAAGGCAGGCTGTCCAGCTCCAGCCAGGTCCAGGCCCAACATAAAAAAAAACAGTGCAAATGAATTTCTTTCCTGGGTGGCAGTCAAGCAGTGGGAGAGATTTGAAAAGATATTGAAATACTTAGTAGAACATTGCAAAACAGCAACATGACGTGGTGTTTGCAAACCCTATAATTTGCAGTCTCTGTACCTACTATACTTTGCTTTTAGAGTACCTTGATGTACTAGATGGTTTATTTTACACACCTTTATTTCTCCAGGCTTCACAAATTTTAAACACAACAATAATGTTTATTGTCATAGTGGCAGCCTGCCATATTCTGAGTTACAAGCCTTTGAAGTTAGAGGAGGTGCAAAAACAATATACAGTAAATTCTATTTTAAAAATTCTTTTGGTGTATCAGATCCCTATAACCTGCAGGTCTTGGAAAAAAGAATATTTATTGTTTAGACTCAGTCATTTGTATCTGAAAGAGCTATAAATACAGGGAGAGAAAAGACACACATGTAAACACGACACCAACGACAATCATGTAGCAGATAGGGACAACATGGATTTTCCTCCATAGACTGAAACTGGTTTGACTGGGTGAACACTGAGAATAATTTTTTGTGTGTGTAGCAAAAGCCTAATGTTTTCATAGATTTTTAATTACTAAAACTTTGATATTTAAAAGAGATGCATTCTCTGCTTTTTTTTTCAACATGCCTTTTTTGGCTATAAGCTCTTGAATTTTTAGAATGTAATTGAAACATTCTTATTCTTTTTTTGTACTCTTAAAAGATTCTTTTATTGTATTTTGGATTGAATTCTGACTTAAATTTTTGCCTGCTACTTACGTTTTCATATACTTGCCAGTATATGTGCCTATAGTTTCTTATAGCTGTATGCTTTTGGATTTTTATAGAACTTTGGAACTTTATAGAACCAATGCAGATAAATAAAGCTTGCAGAATTAGACAAGTTGATGCTTGCCTGGAATCACTGCAATAATGAAAAGACTTGATACCTAGATGAATTTTTGGTATGATGGTAAATTATTGTCAGATTTGATTCTGGAGTTAACGTTTTTTTGGGATAAATACCAGTTGTGAGGAACACAGACTTCTGTTTTTTCCATACGGTACAAAGTTCTGTAAGACTCTTAGGGAGAGCTTCAGGCATCGGAATCCCTGACCTGACAAAGCTTTAAAAGAGTGAGTTTATTCTGCAAAGAATGGTCTGCCCATTTAAACTCATTCTTCTGTAACCTAACCTCCAGATATTTTTCAGATAAAATAAGGTTTTGAAACTAATTTCAAATTCTCCATTTTGGAAGCTGATTAAATTAAATCCATTTTCAAACACACAAGTAGTGATAGAATGTTGCATTATCTCTCAGGGGAGACAAATATGAATATCTCCACCACAGGTGGCAGGGCCCATTTGACCCTTGCCCCCCAGAACCGTCCCGCCCACTTACTGCTTGTGACACAGCATGTGCTGCCATCCTTGTTTGCACTGTGCCAATCGTGGAAGTATTTGGGTTGGGGCTCCCCTGCTGACCACTCTGGTGAGGAGACAGGATGACAAGTATCCCTGCTCAGTTGCTGAGCTACTTCTGTAATAGGTGCAGTGCAAACGAGGATGGCTGACTGTGCCACAAGCAGTAATTGTACAAAACGGTTCGGGGGGGGCAGGGTCAATTGGGCCCGGCCACTTTTAGTGGCGATATTCATGTTCATCTCCTCTCATCTCTACAGAAAAGCAAGCAAATGGTCAACAGTCTCATTGAGTGATCGGATGTCAAGGAAGGTCAAGCTTTGATTTTTATGAATTTTTAATTTAATGATTTTTTTAAAGTTAATAATTTAAGTGCTTGGGGTTTTTTATAATAAAGTTACTTGAGAACAAATTGTGCCTGTGTTTATTATGTTCTAGAATTTTGTGAATGTTCCCTTAGTTTCACCTCTTAAAATTCTGTGCTGTGTTTTTAAAAATTGTTCAAAAGGATAAATGTTCTTCAGTGCCAGCAGTGGGACTTTTCTCACCCATGCAGGACAAGCTCAGTTGCTGAAATGTCCTCCACTCTTAAAGGTACAGGAGAAGCAGTTCCTAATAGACATGGGAGCTTCATATTTGTATCCCAGGGGATATGAATAAAAAGTGCAGCGCCACAGATGCCACGGAGGTCTGTTTCCTCCCCTCAGAACCAGTCTGGTCCACTCACCAGGTTTCGTGTGGCTCACGCAGCCATCATCGGCAACATTGTGCCTGTCACAGAAGCAGCCTGGCTAATGCTTCCCTACCTCCCTGCGCTGTTGACCACTCTGGCAAGGAGGCATGATGACGAGTGGTCAGCAGCACAGGGAAGCAGGAAAGTGCTGGCCAGGCTACTTCCACAACTGGCCACTCTGGCAAGGAGGCAGGATGACAAGTGGTCACAGCACAGGGAGGCAGGGAAGCACTGGCCAGGCTACTTCCACAACTGTTGCTATATTAGCAATGACGGCCACACACACCACACAAAATCTCCTGAGTGGACCAGCCGGTTCTGGTGGGAGAAGGTGGCCTGGCCATCTGCTGTGGGGATATTCATATTTGTCTCTCCCGAGATATCCCATCTTTCATTCCTA